TTTCTTTCTTTCTTTCTTTCTTTCTTTCTTTCTTTCTTTCTTTCTTTCTTTCTTTTTTTTCAGGTTGTAGCACAGTGAGTGGGTGAGACATTATGTGCTTGGATTGTCCTGGAGTAGTGTTTGTTGAGTTCACTTTGACTGTGGTTGTTACAGTGACAAAATGAAGGGACATTCATACAGCACCAAGCACACATTTGCCCAGAGGGAACAGTGAATCTTATCCTCCCTCAAGTCCCCATCCATCTAACATGAGAAAGACATCTAGGGTCAAGGAACAGATGGCTGGAGAAAGCATGTGGTTCTTCACAGTTCCCAGTAAGGCCAGACATGGACCATCACATCTTTAAGGTTTCTTGGTTAGGCATTTGGGAACAGATGTTCCCCGATGGGTGAGCTTCATGAGACGGAGGCCTTGATTGGTGCTATTAATCATTGTTTCCTTGCCACCCAGCACAGTGCCAGCATGAAATTGGCCCTCTTTGATTTGAGGTAGTAGAAAGTTGAGGGCATCAGATCAACAAAATCAATGAATTAGTTAAGACTCAGTAACTCACTAACTTACCACCTCTAGACTTTATAAAGTTCAGGTTGAAAATATGTGAAAGGCAAACTTGCCTCTGAATTTAACACATACAGGCTGGGTGGGTTTAAAGTATATGAGAGGCAGTGTGGAGGTCATACACAGACAGTCTGTGCTATTTATATAAGGAACTCGAGCATTTTGGGATTTTGTTACTAGAGGGGTGTGGGTGTGAGTGGGATCAGCCCCTAAGAATATCTATCACAAATTGAAGACATTCCCACATACATGGAGAAATGTATTCTGAGAAATGACTCTGTTGGTTCAGTTCTGTCCCTCCGAAGGGAGGTAGGGTGGTGCTGGTAGAGAAGTTCACAGCTGCTCTTGGGGAGGGTCTGGGTTTGGGTTCCAGCACCCACATGGCAACTTACTACTTTTTGTAACTCTAGTTCTAAAGGATCTGGCATCTTCTTTTGGCCTCTGGGCACAAAGCACACATGAGGTACATGTGCATACATGCAGGCAAACATACACACACATAAATATCTTTAAAGATGTTACATAAGTTATCTTACAAAGAATCAGACACTTATTCAACAGACGTAAACAAGCATTTTTCATCTCCCATTGGAAACGAGAGAGACACCCCGTGTATCTACAGTCAACACAAAGCCAGAGCTGTGATGCACAGTCAACACGACAGACAAGTAGTTAGGAAAAAATTGCCTGAGGACTTTAAAGGAAAAAACAAGGCAAGTGGGGGTGGTGGAGCCTGTCTTTTACATCTCAAGCCATTGCTTGAGAATCTAAGAATGTGCTGAGCAATTTGCAGCCATGAAGATGTGCCAGCAGTTAGGCAGATGGAAGGGGGAAGCCATGATTGACAGGCTCTGGAGTGTTTTGCTGTGAATTTAGTTGAATCTTATTTTCATTGAAGAAAACAACAGTGGACAGCAAAGAGACCTTCTCCTTGAAAATGAGCCCACATTTAGAATCGTAGTTCCTCTGGTCGTGGTAGCTCATCCTTGTAATCCCAGTACTTCCAGGGCCGAGGCAGGAAGATCTTGAGTTTGAGTCTAGCCAGTTTGAGTTTTGCTGTTTAGCAAAACCAAAACCAAACCAAAACATTCGATACACCCCAGGTAACGGTTGACCCAAAACAGGCTTAACCTCTGGCAGCTCTGCTGAGACCCTTTATATTCACAGGTAGTTCAGGAGTTTTAGTACACATCTCTATTGAAGTGACACATTTCCTGTGGGAGACCATCCCTGCCTGGGCCATACCTCCTGTGGCTGTTCCCATGAGTCTGGAAATTGTGGGGCAGAGGATCATAGATGGTTCCCGTGAGTCTTAATGGAAACCCACAGTGACTTTGAATTTGGGTTTCAAAGTTAGACCAGGGTTCAGAGTCAACCATGAGCAACTTAGGCCACTTTCCTAAGCCTCAGTTTCCTCGGTGTGTGTGTGTGTGTACATATGTATATGTGCTGTATGTGTGTGAATGGTTTACCTCTTGGGGAGGATAGGTGGACCACAGCTAGAAAGGGAAGAAGGCTCTCATTGGTTATTCTAAGTGGCCAGCCGTACCAAATCATGATTCTGGCTGGTATTTATTGGTGTTATTTAGTTTATTGGAGCCTTAGAAAAACATCACACTATAGGACACTGTCAGGTCAGTATTTTTCTCCCTTCGGCAGAAAGCTTAGTAATTTTTCCAAATGCCCAGCTTATAGATTAAAACACTTTTAAATGAAAATACCATATGTAGAAGTGAAAAATGTCTGCTAAGTTTATTCATATTTTTAGCTCATTAGAGGTACAGGAGGCTGTTTTCTGAGGCAGTTTGAAACTTCTATTTTTAGAAAGTATGTTGGTGATTTGTTGAAAAGGATCTAAGTCAGAGCAGAACAAAGTATTTGTGCTTCTGAAGCAAGCACACTGGTAGTTTGGCCTTGCCCCAGAGGTGATCCATCTGTTACTACCCTTTTGGGCTTTCTGGCTCTAAGCAAGACAGAGAGTAGTTCATGAGAACTGAAACTGATTTTTGTTAAAGCAGCCCATTCTTTTTAAATTGAAACTCCAGAAGTTTTGAGTTTGGATGACTTTTTTTTGGGTAGGGGAGGTTGGTACCTAACATTTTGTTTTTTTGAGAAAGGGTGTCTCTGTTACATTATTATGTAGTTCCGGCTATTCTGGAACTCAGTATGTAGATTAGGCTGGCTTTGAACTCATAGAGATACTCTTGTTTCTGCTTTTCAGTGCTGGGATTAAAGGCATGCACTACCAAGCCTTGCCCACACTTAACATTGTTAAGAATTACAAGTGCTTCAGGTCTTGTGGTGGTGGCCCTTTAACCCCAGCACTTGGAAATGAGAGATGGTGGATCTCGGAGTTTGGAGCCAGCTTGGTCTACATACTGAGTTCTGGGACAGCCTGGGCTACACTGAGAGACCCTGTATCAAAAAACAAACAAACAAGCAAGCAAACAAAGAATTACAAATGCTTCTTTGTTGTGGGAAATTAATCTCTTTAGTTTTCTATGATCTGATTGAATTGCAAGTTATTCTAAAAGCTATATCCTGTTCTTCTCATTAATACCAGTCCCTTATTCTTTTTTTTAATACTTTTTATGGTTTACTTAACTTTATTTTATGTACATTGGTGTGAATCCCCTACAACTGGGTCTTCAGACAGTTGTGAGCTGCCATGTGGGTGCTGGGAATTGAACCCAGGTCCTCTGGAAAAGCAGTCAGTGCTCTTAACCACTGAGCCATCTCTCCAGCCCCCCCCCCTTATTCTTTACATAAATGTCTAATACTAATCGTATTTCTTATGATTCTGATGAATGCCAGTCTAAATTTTGAGAGGTAATTGTATAACATTTTTTATTTCCTGTCAACTCTGAGATGTTATGCCTTTGGTGTCTTGTGACCTAGGATATCAGCCATTGCTTCTTCTTGGAAAGCCCCAGCCCACTTGAAGTGAGTGTTAGCAGTAAACCACTCTCTGTGGAGTGTCCAAGCTGCTCAAGTTACTGGAGGGATTCAGGAGGGGGCAGCATAATTGGTCAAGTGGCCTTCATGGAGTGTGCCAAAATTATTCATTTAAGGTTGTGGTCTACTGCAGGTAGCCTTTGATTTAGAAACAGGTATAAGCTGTACTTTGCTGCCTGATTCTGTTCGAAGTTAAAGAGCAGTGCATTGCTAAGGATTTACATATTTTGAAACTGGATATAGGTGGCTGGAGCAAGATAGATTCCGGTTTACAGGTTGCTGGAGTTTCGTTATGAGACTCAGTAAGTGGCAGAGTAGCTCCAGAACTGCTTAAGGGCCTGTCCCAGTCTGCTTTGTATACACAGTTTTAGTTAGTTTTCACCATTGGCTTATTGGATGAGAAACTAAAAAGCAATGCAGAACAAAACAAAAAACACTACTTTTTTTTTTCCTTTTCCGATGAACCTTCTTCCATTTGACTTACAGAATACGGAGTCTGTGGCCACCACTGAGACTCTGGCTGAGGTGCCTGAACACGTGCTGCGAGGACTTCCAGAGGAAGTGAGGCTTTTACCGTCTGCTGTTGACAAGACCCGAATTGGTGAGTACGCTCATCATAGGAGTCAGGCAGCAAAGAGTAGGCTGCTTCCTTTGGGAGCAGAGACTGTGTTAGATAAACATTATGCCGAAAAAGGAAAGGTTGCCCCTTACTTAAATTCTGTGATGTCTGTGTACTTTCCACAACAGATTCCAGGATGGACTTGGGTTATAAAAGTAAGCTAGCAGAGTTGTGGTGGTGCACACCTTTAATCCCAGCACTCAGGGGGCAGAGGCTGGCGTGGTCTACAGAGTGAGTTTCTGAACATCCAGGGCTACACAGAGAAGCCCTGTTTCAAAAAACCAGAAGAAAAAAAAAAGCCCAACACACAATGAACCTCCATATTCTGTCCTTGTTTGTGTGCCCCAGTGTGCCCTCTTCTGCATACCCATGAACCTTGTTCCACAGAGTGGGCTTCCTCTGATTTTGCTGTGCCTTAAGTGTGATTATGTTATCAGATTTATTCCCCTTTTAGTTGACTTTATATATGTATATGTGTATGCATCCCTGTTGCTTTACCCATATTTTTATACTTAGGAACCCTCTGGAGATATCTGAATAAACAGTATAAACTGACTAGAGTTTCTTGTTGAATACACAAGCTTGTATGTATTTGGTTTTTGTTTTGTGATTTCCATAGATAGTTTTAGAGAGAAGGCTAAGGGTAGGTTATTAAAATCTTGTAAGAACATAATCTTGAGTAGATCACGCTTCCACCCTCCTGTTTGTCTTTTAGATGCTCTTCTGATGCTCAGTCAGTGTGTGTGACCTGGCAAGCACTTTCTCTAATTCTCATCGGAAATTTGCTTAGTGAGCATTGGGATTTGATTTTATTTTGTTTGGTTATGTCACAGCTCAGCCAACTGATTGTTCGTGTTCACGGGTGCAGTTCCAAGCTGACTTGGTGGGAGTGGAGAGTATACGTCCTAGTCACACACAGCAAGACTAGCTTCCACCTCTCCTTCTCTAAATGAAGGATCCTGTCCAGAATGTGTGCTTCTCTTGACTTCTGGGCTCCAACCAGTCCACTGACTATGTCTTTATCCTATCTGTGTGCTTTATGATAGGTGACTAAGTGATGGAAATAATCCCGAGGGACGCCATGGGTGAGCATGTATGTTGACAGAAACTCTGGAAGCAAACCATCCCATGAGCTATGTTTCATGAAAGTAATGCGAGGAAAGGATTTTCCAATCTAACTAGGCAGATCAACTTTGAAAGTATTTATTACTAAAAACCAAGTCCTAACCATTATAAGAACAGCTTGTCTGTAGTAGGGTTAGTTTGAAACCCATAGGCAGACTATGAAGAATTTAAGTTTTTTTAGTTTTATCCCATTTCTTTTTTCTTATGTTAATTTTCAAGTTTTGTAATTGTACTATAAATGGTCTATTTTACATATAAAAGATAATATGAACTTTAAAAAATGATAAAAACAATGCAGATTCTTTACAGACTAGTTAGAGAAAACCGAGGAGCTACAGAAGAAAACTCAGAATCCCCTGGAGGACTCTATTTGGTTTGATTGAACTTACTCATAGTTATCTTGCTGTTAGGCATCCTTACTTTTTAATTGTTTTGTAAAGTTGAATGACATTAATGCTTCCAATATTTAAAATAACCACATTATATTATAAAATATTGGTTTTGTTTTTCTAGGTGTCTGGGCCACTAAACCAATTTTAAAAGGGAAAAAGTTTGGGCCATTTGTTGGTGATAAGAAGAAACGATCTCAGGTTAGGAATAATGTGTACATGTGGGAGGTAAGAGACTTTCAAACATTTTAAAGATGTTTACCTGTTCTCATATGATTTGCCATCTTAAGCTTAAAACATATGTTTTAATATGTTCTTTAAAAATCTTTAAAAATGACAATATTAATTTTTCTGGGTGACTTATTTGCACATGTGTGTGTAGTTTGAAGCTGCGTGTATGTTCTTGATTGTAAATGTCACATCTACTTTTTGTATTCCTTGTCCAGGGCGTTTTGCCTTGCACCCTAAGACCTTGACTTCCTGTGTGGTGGCCTGTCATTTTACAAGTGATATGGATATAACCACAAAATACACTTCACGGGCTTCCAAGAACAGATTAGATTCCTTTCTGTATGTCAGATAGTAGTTTCTATGTCCCTGAAATACTGTAAACATATAGCATGTGACATATTTACATTGAATTTAAATTTTTAATGATATATTTATTTTATGTGCATTGGTGTTTTGCCTGCAAGTTTAAGGGTGTTGGATACCCTGAAAATGGAGCTACAGACAGCTGTGAGTTGCTATGTGAGTGCTGGGAATTGAACCCAGGTTCTCTGGAAGAGCAGCTGGTGCTCTTAACCACTGAATTTTTAATTTTGTGAAAGGTTTTCATTCTACTTCATATTTTTTCAACAGCCCTGGAGGACAAAGCAGGGCAGTAGCAGCCTTTTAATAGAAGCTTCCAGAAAAAGAGGAGCTGCCCTTGCTCGGCAGGCCCAGGCCTGAATGGGGCAGATGTGGTCAGAGCCATGTCTCTGGGGAACAGCGGGACAGTTACACATGTTTTCTCAGATTGCCTGGGCCAGCTCCTGCTTCTACATCAGCTTCCAGACTTCCTTAACCTATGGGCTGTGAAGTTTTCTGTTTAAAAAGCCAGTCACTAAAAACACTTCATTAAGATGCTCGTGACTACACGTGTTGATCGTGTTCTGGGGTTTGCTTGGGATTCTGCCAGTCAGTGCCCTGGGAAAGACCCTCAGGGCATGACTCCTTTACAAGATTCATTTTGAAAGAGAAGGAATCACTCCTGTTTCATTCTTATTGACAGTCAAATGTGTGGCCACATCCCAGCAAGAAGCTCAGGGCATGGGGGGCAGGGATAGGGGGGCTCTTAAGGCTCGAAAGGTTATAGCTTGATCTGACAGTTTCTTCATTTTGTGTTTGTGTCTTGTGAGTCTGTTGTCTGTGATAGCGTCTGACAGTGAACCCTGGGGGCTTTAGAAAACGATTTACCAAAAGAATCTGACCGGAGGTGAAAGAAATTTGTCATTGTAGAAAAACTGTCTGGTTACAAAAAGTCTTTATTATTAAGGATAATACTTTTGTTATTAAAAATGTGTTGCCTGTACAATATTGCACTCAAATAAATCACAGTTTTAATTTAAAAAGGTTCCAAAGGAAGCTAACAGGAGTGCTCGATTTTGCTAGCGTTAATCATAGTGGGGAATATCAGGGAGTCACATGCTTACTCGATGTACTGTATGTACAGTGCCAGCTAGAATAAATGCCATTGCTGCTTAAGTGAAGTCAGTGGCACCTTCTCTCCACTGTAACAGCTGGGCGTGGCTGTATGAACCATCACTCATGTCTTACGGGAGTTACCGTCTGCACTGAAATTCACACCTAATGTGGCTTGAGAGTCACTTGCATCCATGAGATTCTAGGGACTCCATTTCTTCTACACACACATAATCTCAGTGCTAATAATTTAAGATTCTTACATGCACATGCTGTAGTTTGTAACTCATTATGGAACCACCACTTCTTTTCAGTCAGGTTCGAGTTTATCATCCTGTTGTTGTGAAGATTGACCTTTCCTTGCAAGGAAGAAAATTCAGGATCTCATTCACTTATTCTCACATCTGAAAAGGCTTTTCATTTAAAAAAAATGTTAAAATAGGATATAGATTACAGGTGTATACCCACACATATGGCAAGGTATCAGGAATATCACTTATAATGGGCATATTTCTCATAAATAAATTGAAAATCAAGGTAAACTATTTCCTATTACCTGATTCTAACCCTGATCTTACCCTCACATTTGCATCAGAAAATCTCCTAATGTCACAGAAAGAGTTTATCATCAGAGCTCCATCTTGGTGTTTTTTCTTCCATCAAAGCCCCTTAAGACCTTTTAAAAACATCTAAGCAGTAGAATCTTACACCAACCAGTTCACCATTGTGTGCTAACCTAAGACGAAGTGTTAATTGCCTTTCTTGAGCCCTTGACTGTCTGACTCTGTAAATCCTCAAGCTTCACTGAAAGCATTCACATTCCTTTAAATGCGGAAGAGTATGATGCTCAGGGTGAGTGCATGGAGCAGGTTCCTACAGAAAAGCAAGCATGCTTTGATCTGGCGCTAGCAGAGCCATGGGGACCTGACATGCTGGACTGCCTGCCACACTTCTCTTGATCACCTGGTGTGTTGAGCAATATCAGAATTTTGAAACCATTCCTGATTTTGAAAAACTGTCCTTCCCTTTAAAGGCAGAACCTTGCTTTGTAGTCTAGGTTGACTTTGAACTAGGATCCTTTTACCTCTACCTCTCATGTGCTGGGATTGCAAGCATGGGCTACTATATACCTAGCTGATAAAAAGTCTTTCAAGTTTAGGCTCATATTGCTGCTAATAAACAGTGTTTTTGGAATTATCTGAGTAAAATTTATTCTAACAATTCTTTAAAAATAGATTATTTTATTTTACTTCTATTGTTTTGAAATAGAGCCTTGCTTGTAGATTAGTCAAAAACTCAAATTCCTCCTGCATTAATCTCCTGAGTGCTGGTAATACAGGCACGAACTAACTATTAATTATAGAACTTTAAGTTTTTAGAACAGTGTTAGATTCAGAGAAAATTGATTGGAAGGTGGAGATCGTTTCTGTCTTGTTTTGTGCTGCTCTGATAAAATCCCATAGCCAGGGTAGAGTCCTGAAGCTTATTGTGAAAGCTAAGAAGTCCAAGATCAAAGAGCTATACATACTCGGTGAGGGACTTCTTAATCTATTATAGCATTGCTGGAAAGCATTACAGATCAAGACAGAGCCAGAGATGGAAGTTGTGGCCTCAAACTCTTTTAGAACTTGTGTTTCTTCATTCAGAGAGCCAGAGCTGCCACAATCTGGACATCCCATTAAGTCTGTGTCTGGACTCAGTATGTGCATTTGGGAGCCATTCCTGCTCTGTCTGTAGAACCCCGCCTCTGCATAACCACAGATTTCCCAGCTATCAGCCTTTCCCCTAGAGTGAGACATTTGTTATTTTTACTAAACCTGCATCCAAGGGCTGTTATCATGCAAAATAGTTTGTGTTAATTTTTTTGGTATATATTCTAAAGAATACTTAAAAAATGTTTTCTTCTGAAATGTTCTATATAGCCTGGCTGCCCTGAAACTTGCTAGGTAGACCAGGTTGGATTTGAACATACAGAGATCTTCTTGCCACTGCTCCTCCAGTGTAGGGATTAAAGACATATGCCACCCAACCCAGCATATAACTCTTAAAATTTTAAACAAGGCCAACAAGATGCCTCATTAGGTGGAGGTGCTGCCGCCAAGCCTGATGACATGAGTTCCATCACTGAACCCACACGATGGAAGGAGAAAACTGACTTCCCCAGTTGTTCTCTGCCTTTCCATACATACACACACAAATGTAATTAAAACAACACCAACACAAAACTATAGTAGTATGTACAGTATAGAAAAAGCTCACCAAAAATTAAAATTCACTTAAACTCCCAGTACCCAGACATCTCTATGAGCATTCTTTTAATTCTACATTTAAAATTTGCTAAATTAAAGAACTTATTTTGGTCACACCCTTGTGTGGTACAGTCTCTGTTTTCTCTGCCTAAGGCCTCTGCCATCCTTGTTTCTCACATTAGTTCCTGTCCTTGCACTGTGTTTTATAGGAATGTAATGTGCTTGCTTCCTACCAACGTCCCAAGGATGTGTCTGTCAAGTACTTGGCCTATGCCATTTCTTCTGTGGCTGCTCATAATTCTGTTTGTATACCATCCACGATTTACCTTGTTTTGGATATTTAGATAACTTTAATCTTTTGCTGAGTATGTACAGTACTTCAAAGCGTAAACTCACTATGCATGCAATATGCTGACTTGTCTGCTATTTTTCTGAAGATACAGTCCTAGAAGTGTAAATGTTAAGTCAAAAGTTATGTAAATTTCTATACATTTTTGGTCAGTTTTGCCCTAAAGCCCTTAGAAAGATTGTAGTGATTTGTATAATCAGCAAGAATATGTTTTTTTTCCTAGGGCTTTGAAACCCAGTATTTTTTTTTTTTTTGGTTGCCTTAAGAATATCTATTCTTGCTGGGTGGTGGTGGAGCATGCCTTTACTCCAAGCACTCAGGAGGCAGAGTCAGGCGTATCTCTGTGGATTCAAGGCCAGCCTGGACTATAAGAGCTATTTCCAGGACAGGCTCCAAAGCTCCAGAGAAACCCTCCGAAAAACCAAAAAATAACAACAACAACAACAAAAAACAAAACAATAACAAAAAACCCCAAACTATTCTTTTAAGTGAACAATTACTACTTCTATTTGTGTTTTGCTCTTCTTGAGTCTAGGGCTGGAGAGATGGCTCAGAGGTTAAGAGCACTGACTGCTCTTTCAGAGGTCCTGAGTTCAATTCCCAGCAACCACATGATGGCTCACAACCATCTGTAATGAGACCTGATGCCCTCTTCTGGCATGCAGACAGAATGTAGGCAGCAGAACACTACATACATAATAAATAATAAATCTTAAAAAAAATCTTAAAAAAATTTGAGTCTAGAGGACAGAGGGAAGAAATAGAAGACCTTATCAATTGCAATAGATACAGAAATGCTCTCTGCATAGCTCCAAGATTTTACTGTTGTTTTTTTTGAAAGAAGCAAGCCCTCTTTCTATGCGTTCCCAGCATTGCGAATAAAATGCATGTTGGTGTGTGAGCGGGAACTGTTGTGTGTCCTTGTACTTGGCTGTCACTTGGAAGCT